TTTTAAAAAAATTCTCAGTAGTAGCACGGAGTCTGGAATTGTGCCCGGTATATGGCAATAGGCTCACCCCCTATTACATGGGACTCATAACATAAATAGTGAAAAGTGGGTGTTACATTGTACAGTGGCATAATGTGCACCACTGCCTACCCCTTCGGGGATAAAAGGCGTGATGTTATGTATGTTGTTATTCCTCTGATAAAATTTAACTGAGCATTGAAAATCGGCCTTAACTCGTGGAGTACCGGTTTTGTAGACACAATTATAGAACAATAGGTTGCGGTCACCGGTGACCGCTCGGTGTTTGACAGTTTAAGTGATTCATTTTAGGGTCACATTTCTTTAGCCTCAATATAGATTTATAAAAGTAACAAATTTTCTAATTTGTAGGTAGCACAACAGAGAACATAAGTTAAACTAAAATTAAATACCTAGTTTGTATCTCAGTTAACCTCAAAGCAACTCGAAATACTAATCTTAGCATCTCGGAATCCATCTTGGAAGCGAACGCTAATTAATTGCGGAAATGCACCTTTGTACACGAAATACTCTCATAATATTACACTAACTAAATGTTGCCAACGTAATTAATTTAAACGAATAAATTTGTTGCCAGTATCAATTAATTTTGGTAGGCATAGAAATAATCTGTGAGTCGTAATATGTCGAATCATTAATTATGTATGCTGAAATTAATTTTGAAATTAGAATGCAATGTCGGTGTGTCGTTTGTAATTAGATGCATAATTTATGATGCGTTAGAGATTATTTATGGTATATTTTATTTTGTAATTATAATTTGAATTAGATTTATAGTCGATATTCCACCAGGAAAGTACCTACCTATATTGTATCATGGCATCATCATCAGTCATAATACCTACGACGGTATTTATTAATATCCTGAAGAGTGTCAAGCAACTTCGTATTTAGGTCATCACATAGGTACCGAAAATCCATTGATATTTGGTAACAATGTTGACATACATAGGTTAAATATTAAGTAGGTAATTTACACTGAAGCTTAGCCAAAGCAGGATAAGCTGTACGGGGTAGTTTTAATCAGTAAGATATGAACACTCTCGGCCTACCCAAGGTAGGAGAAAATAACTTTTAATTTCTTTTTTAAAAACCTTGGCCCACGCTAGTATTTTCTCCTGTGTCGTGGATGCGTTTACAAATATACAAGTTCACAACCCGGAAAAACAATCTGTGGACCACACAGAGTTGTTCCGTGTGGGAATCGTACCCGTGACACGTTGCGCGGCGGTCTAACCACCGCGCTAACCTTGAGGTCAAGGCAAGTAACTGCATTAGTTAGGTATTAACTCGTCGAGTACCGTCATTATAGACACAATTATAGAACAATAGGTTGCGGTCACCGGTGACCGCTTGGTGTTTGACAGTTTAAACGGAACTGTTTGACAAGTCTACGACAAAATTTCATACACACATACATAACATCATGCCTTTTATCCCCGATGGGTTTAGGCAGAGGTGCACATTATGGTACTGTACAATGTAACACCCACTTTTCACTATTTATATTATGAGTCCCATGTAATAGGGGGTGAGCCTATAGCTATAGCCGAGCCTATATACCAGGCACAATTCCTGACTCCGTACTACTACTGAGATTTTTTTTAAAAACCCCATTAATACTTTGTCCGACCCGGGAATCGAACCCGAGACCCCTTGCCCGGCAGTCGCACTTGCGACCACTCAGCCAACGAGGCAGTCGACAAAATTTCATAGCAATCTTAATATAAAATTTAGATTACGTATCTCTAGCAGCAGTAGCAGCATTCCATGGAATATAAACTAAATGAACCATGGATGAAAGCGATTTGAAATCCGCAATTAGAGGTCTGCGAAGAAAATTCACCGTTTGTGTTAAAAGGGATTACTGAGATGGCGCAGTCGACAGTATTTTAATTGTGCCCTATTCTTGTGCTGACTGACCTGTAATTATTACAGGTTAAAATGAATTTTAATTCATAAGTACTGCTACGGTTTTAAATGTGGTTAAAAAATTGAATTTGTATGTTGTTTAGTAATATATTTCTATTATTTATTTATTTATTTCAATTAAATAGTTTTTTTTTTTAAATCTTACATTTCTTATTCTCCACGGACTCTTGTCCGTGCCCTTGTCATTCCATTACATTTTCTTTTAATTTACAGTCAAAATTAATTGTTACAAAAATCTTACGTACTACATTAACCACATTTTTTTTCACAAAGAAGGTTGTGTCTAAATCTAATATCTATATATACACAATACATGTTTTATTACATTTACATTAACCTTACTGGATCGGCCCACACGCGCGATGAGCGAGCCGACCTGCTCCAGCAGAAGGCGCCCGTTCACGAGCATGACGTGAGGGCCAGCAATCGATCCATCAATTAAATAGTTATAACATTACAGTCGTAAAACCAAGGCGTTATACATTTCAAATAATTATAAAAAAATGTAAAGTTAAAGTAATAAACTGTTAAAGTAATATTTAATTTATTTTAATTAATATAACGTAACCTGACTCGTTGGGTCTCGGGTTCGATTCCTGGGTCGGGCAAAGTATTACCGGGTTCTTAAAAAAAATATCAGTAGCACGGAGTCTTGAATTGTGCCCGGTATATGGCAATAGGCTCACCCCTATTACAGTGGACTAGTACCATAAATAGTGAAAAGTGTGTGTTACATTGTACAGTGGCATAATGTGCACTCCTGTCTAACCCTTCGGGGATAAAAGGCGTGATGTTATGTTATAACGTAACGTGATCTCATATAGAAAATACAATAAATCTATAGATTTGTCTAACCCATACACCGAAAATAAAATTAAAATGTTGACAAGATGTCTACAATGTACAATACCAAAAACATACTACATATTTTCTTAACAAGAGGAGGTCTAAAGGGTCTCGGGTACTGTATTTACCCGAGACTCCGAGACACTTTAATTAACTTTATTTTTTACTCTCCAAAGTCTTCGGTAAATTGCCAACAATAGTTTTATCTTTGAGAAATAAACAACGTTTGGTTTGGATTGTTCTCAATTTATTGCAAGTTATGTAATAGATATAAAATTGTGATTGTTTATATTTCAATCGTAATTTACCATAATACCTACTTCGGTTAGAGTGTAGCCTTAGGGCCGCTATGGCGGAGGACTTAAAAAAATTTTTCGAGGACTTAAAACGTGTCCAATGATTTTCGCTTTATTATGAAGTAATACTAAGCGATGGAAATGAAAAACTAGCCATTTATAAGAATTTTTAGAAGTCCTAAACTCCTTGCCTCTAAGACAACCCACTGACCCCTACTTCGGTAACCACGCCTGCACGATAGAACAAATCAAGCGTTATCATTTTCGGTGAAGCCGTGTATCACTGCTGTGGGGCCGGTCTACTTGCGCAAAGGCGACCCGCTTCCTTTACAATCACTCCTTAACTAGCAATAGGGTAGATGACAAATTTTTATTTTAATGTCCAACTGGTAGATTATTTAAAAACATAAGTTACGTATTTTTTATTTTCTTACGGAAACGAATAGTTCGAAGATATATTGTTTTTTAATATCGCATTACGTCACTTTTGAGTACGATTTGTACTAAAAAATAACGTAGTTACCTCCCCACTCCTAAACTTTGATTCGTTTTATCTAAGTATTGTTTTCTTATACGACAAAATAAAAAATACGTGTCTAATATTTTTTCATTATTTAACTGACGGACTAATTAGATTTCATACCCTGTCGTCATCCCTATTGTCTTTTTGTAGGTTCTATACCAAACAAAAGTCGTGGAGAACCTAACGGGTTACTGGGGCTCCAGCTAGGCGTGCAGGAGAAGGAACTGGGCGGTTTTTAGTCAGTAAGAGTCTGACACTCCCCCTCCCGCCTCACCCAGACGGGTGCAGTCATTCGATGATTTTCCCTTAAAAAAAAACCAAACAAAACCATTATTTTTGTTTAGAAAATTATGATATAACCCCTCCCGTCCTGGATGAGGTGGGAGGAAGTATCTCTTACTGTTTAAAAACCACCCTGTCCCGACTTCGCTCCGTGCCTTAGGGACCATATCCTTGGACCAGTTGAATCCTAACCTCTTTTTTCTTTCACAGCACTAAATATACCATGGGAGATCCACGTACCAGACGAGTACGTGATGGCGGGGAACGCAGCAGTCCTGCGGTGTGTGGTGCCGCCACACTGCGCCGATCGCGTCAGCAGCACCGACTGGTTCACTGACGACCAGACCAATGTGCCGCATCATTTAGGTAAGGTTCTCTTTATTTATTTTAAATGATAATACACTAAATTAAGTAAAAACGCGGGTTACTCACGTGAATATACTGAGAAAAGCTCTACTAGTTTCGAACAGTGAGCTGCGCGACGTCGCCGCGACCGCGCACGCTGCTCATGAGGAAGAACCCCTCTGTGGTTCGAAACTAGTAGAGCTTTTAGTTAGACGATTCGTAGTAACGAATCGTCTAACCTCACCTGCTTAATTACCTATATAAACAAGCTAGTTTAGTTTAAAAAACTTGGCACACCGCATGTTGTACCTATTAATTTCTTACTCCTAATCTCCTAACCTGCTTAATTATATAAACGTGGTAGCTGTAGCCTGCGACTTCGTCCTCGTAAAATATGATTTCTTTTTTTTTGCCATGGAAACATTTAATCGGGATAAAAGTATCCTATTACCTAAGTCAGCTCATACCCTGGCTGTATATAACATTTTATCAAAATCCGTTTAGTAGTTTCAGACAAACATTTAAATAAAGAAACTGTCACTTTTATAACATTAGTGTGATCTATAGACTGCCTCGTTGGCCGAGTGGTCGCAATTGCGACTGCCGAGCAAGTGGTCTCGGGTTCGATTCCCGGGTCGGGCAAAGTATTACTCGGGTTTTTAAAAAAAATCTCAGTGGTAGTACGGAGTCTGGAACTGTGCCCGGTATATGCCAATAGGCTCACCCCCTATTACATGGGACTCATAACATAAATAGGTAGTGAAAAGTGTGTGTTACATTGTACAGTCGTATAATGTGCACCTCTGCCTACCCCTTTGAGGATAAAAGGCGTTATGTTATGTTATGTGTAATCTATAGAAACTTCGAACAAAATAAATCAACTTTTTCACATCAATTTATTCAACCAATGCAATTCTAACTATTAGATACGAAATAATATTCATAAGCACTGCTTTAGTCTAACAAATTGCTATAATAAAATTTGCGTTTGTGATCGTCAATATGATTTACATGTCTATAACATAACTATTCGAGATATCGACTCGTGATTTACATTAAATACGTGATATTCGGAAGATAAATTATTCGATATAGTCGATAGTATGGAATAATCGGGCATAATGTGGTGAGTGTCACGTCCCTGCGACCGATTTGGGCCGTTTAGAGGATCATCTTATTTTCGCTCTTAAAAGGTTAATATTTTCTGTTATGGACATATTTCCTACTTAATTTAATATATTTTGTAATAGAGAAAATAATTATTTTATACCGCGCAATTAGGTGGTTTTCAAGTGTTAGTAATAATCGTCCATAACATAAAAAAGATTGCAACGTTGCCAATTCACAAACAAATGACACGTCAATGACGTCATGCACAAAATGACAAGGAAAAACGCATATCGCTTTCTTCTTCTAAATGCAACTATTTTCCTTTGGATACGTTGCCAGCTTCAAAACAAATGACATGTCAATGACGTCAGACCAAAAATGACAAGGATAGCAACAATAATGGACTGTGTTCTCTTTCTAAATTTAAACTTTGTTCTGAAGAACAAACAAAAAACAAATCAAGTGACATGGCAATGAAATCAAACCAGAAATGACAATTGTTCTTTTTCTAAATTCAAACATTTCTTGATTATTGTATTAGTGCAATTAGTGAATAATGTTCATTGAAAGGTATTAATCAATACATAGTATAAAACAAAGTCGCTTTCGCTGTATGTCCGTATGTATGCTTAGATCTTTAAAACTACGCAACGGATTTTGATGCGGTTTTGTTTAATAGATAGAGTGATTCTTAAGGAAGGTTTGTATGTATATACATATTGCACCCGTGCATAGCCGGGGCGGGTCGCTAGTACATTATAATATCAATAGGTAGGTAAAGTGCATGGGCATATGAAGTCATAAGAGTTAATATCTGTATCTAGTAATCTGATTTAGAAAATTTTGGTATTGGTAACATAATTGGTAACAAACTTCTTAAAATTTAATATTATAATACAAACATGCTTAAAAAAAAGAAAAAAATTAATACTGACCAGTTACTGGAATCAGGACTAAACATAACAAAATAAAACGACGATACTTAGATACATATTATACTTTTTCCTTATAAAATTCCTTCATAAAACATGTCGAAATGTTATTTTCTAAGACCTAAGAGAAATTTGTACGCCAAAGAGGAAATTGTTGCTTTTCTCATTAACACACTTGTCATCGGACGACGCGCAATTACGTTTTCATACAAAAATTATTTATATTTTGTAAGAAAAATAAATTGAGGTGATAAAATGAAAGTTTCGCCTTATAGGTAGGTACCTACATATAACGTGAGATAATAATTTTATACGCGTAATAGACATGTGAGATTTATATTTAATGATCTCTTGGAATATAATTCATTTGAAGTAGGAATTATGTTTTAAATATTTTAACAATAGCGTTAAATGAAAATATTCTTTTTGCACGTCGGTATAAGGTAATTTTTGCAAGGAAATGTTATGGCATGTTATGCTATAATCCTGTTTCGTCGAATATCATTTTCATTGTTGCGTTCTATAGAGACTGTGCACTATGCTACAATTAGTATTTTACGCTTCTGTATGGAGCAACTACACATACAGACTTTTACATTGGACTGGAATTTTGATCATTATTTTCTTACCTAAACGTATTAATTATAAAACGTAAGTTTTTTTTATGGCATTAGCCGGTAAACGAGCAGACGGATCACCTGATGGTAAGCAATCGGCGTCGCCCATGAACACCTGGAACACCAGAGGCGTTACAAGTGCGTTTCCGGCCTTTTGAGAATTAGGAGTTGGAGGATCGTTGAGGATCGTTGGGGATTCAGGAATCGGGGAGATTGGGGAAGGGGTCTCCGGTAACCGCACTCACACGACGAAACACAACTCAAGCGTTGCTTCACGTCTATTTTCTTTGAGGCCGTGGTATCACTCCGATCGAGCCGGCCCATTCGTGCCGAAGCATGGCTCTCCCACACTTAGTTGTGCATCTAATCGCATCTATAATGATATTATTCATCAATTCTACCGATATTGTAATATTATCACGTACCTTTACTATAAATATTACACTTCTGAGTACGAAATCCCTTGTTATTTATCTTATTAGAATAGCCTGAACTACTTAATAGAGAGCATAATACTAATTAGTTTTATGAAAGCATAGATAAATTTTGACAAAGCTCATTTTATTTAAGTACTCCCGAAAACTTGAGATTAACTTAAGATCTCCAACAAATAGGAGTTTCCTTAATTTTTTTTATTATTATTATTTTTTTAATAAGACACGTATTTTTTCTTCTCTTATCTCGCAAAATTACATACTTTCGGCGATGTATTAATTTGCAATATCGACGTAACGACCTCCCATTTCTAAACTTAACGCCATTTTATCGAAGTATTGACGAGAAAAAAAAGTAGGTAGGTACGTGTCCAAAATTTTTTTCATTATCTAACATAACAACATACCATAACATCACGCCTTTTATCCCCGAATGGGTAGGCAGAGGTGCATATTAGGCCACTGTACAATGTAACACCCACTTTTCACTATTTTTAGTAACGATATTTTTCATTATCTAACTGACGGACTGTTTCGATTTTTTAATTTTCATACCCTGGCAACTATCCTATTGTATGACGAAAATTCCACGTCAATTTTCCACCGCACTGTAAACAAAATATACTTACTTACAAACAGCACCATTTATGACTATAATAAATCCGAATGTAGCTGCAAATAATTTCATTTAAATAAATGTGAACATTGGTGGGTGCAATATTTCGCATCCGTCACATCTGTGTTTCAATTAGTGTTGTGAAATTCATTTGTATTATGTTTAAAATATCTCGGAATACAAACGCATTACCTATTGTTTTGCATGGAATAAGTTATTGTCGTGTGAATGTTTAGATAAAAAGTACAAACCCAATTGGATTTAAATACCTATTTTAACAAAGATATATAATCAAATGCACGACGATTTCAGAGTGGTTATTTATTAATTGTATTACTTTTTGTTCACAACATTAGTAACTATTATAGCGTAAATGCCAAACACAAGTTCTTTGATTAAATTCTCGAATATTGCAAAGTTTTGTTTACAATTGGGCTGCGAGGCGAAAAAAAATATAGGTCTGATATGTGTAACAGTGCAAAATTCATCTTCAAATGTTAAATTTAATATAACCTAACCAGTAATGTTTGCTTCAGGGTCTAAGTACCAGCGTCTAGACGACGGCTCGTTGTACATAAGTGGTGTAAGCCCACGAGACCGGCACAACGCGTTCCGGTGCCGTGTACGGGACCGGATCACCGGGACCTTGTACACTAGCCCTTATTTTGGTAAGTTTTTTATAAATAACTCTCCGGACAGACACGGATTTCTGTTTAGCTTTAAGAAATAAGATTGAATAAGCTTAGCCATCTATAGTTTATGAACTTACAAGCTGATATGCCTGATATACTGAGCTTATAGATTTCTTTCTATTTCTAATTAAAATCTCTTTAAGCCTTAAGCACAGTACAGATAAATTAAAACACTGACTGACTTTATTTGACAACAACGCCATCTACTGAGTTCGAAAACGATAAATATTTATGTACTCACCCTGCATAATGAATTTTCACTATCTAAAATTTGAGTTAAGAACCTAAAATAAAAAAAATATTTTTGTCCAGGTCACGTAATAGTGACAGAACCAAAGGGTGGCGTGAGGCCGCGGATGGCGATAGAGCCGCGCACGCGCCGAATACAAGCCGGACATGATGTCCGACTACCATGTGCTGCGCATGCATGGCCTGTGCCTAGCTACAGGTAAGAATTACACCGAGATGTTTTTTATTTAGCTTACTTTTATAAAATGCGATTATTTCTTCAACCCCAATTTTCAAAGCAATCAAAATACAATAAGTTAAACAAGAACCAAAATCGCGCACCTTGTACATCAAACCATAACACAACACAGTCAGCCTATATAAAGTTTTTCTTCATAGAAAAACAAAAAACGGGGCAACATTTTCTGCCGGTGTATCCTCTAGCTAAAAGGTATCGCTTCAGTAAGCAAACAACGGACTGCGACGGTATCAACCGCAAAGAGGCTAAAGCCACTGCTTTTACTTAGATATAGGTCTTATGTTTTACGTAAGAAGCCTGTAATTACCATGGTTTTTGTAAATTAGATCTTTATGAAGCTAATTGTCTAGTGGAGATTGTAATATTGTGTGACTAGCTTCAGCCAGCGGCTTCACCTGGGTTCCCATTGGATAAAAAGCTGCCTTCAGCCGTTTTGACCTGATTAAGTAACTAGATAATAGGGATGATGACAGGGTATGAAAATTAAAAATCTAATTAGTCCGCCAATTAGGTAATGAAAAATATTAGACACGTATTTTTTTATTTTGTCGTATAAGAAAAACAATACTTACTTAGATAAATCATTTATGTTAAGAAATAAATGTGATTGGATTTGATTTGATTTGAAATTGAATTAAAGTTTAGGAGTGGGAGGTAGCTACGTCATTGTAGAGTTCATAAATCGTACTCGAAAGTGACGGCATGCGACATTTCAAATCAATATATCTTCGAAACTATTCGTTTACGTAAGAAAATAAAAAATTATGTCTAATGTTATTAAAAATTCTACCTACCAGACGGGTATTAAAGACATTAGATTAGTCATCTACCCTATTGTATTGTGAACCTGATTGAAAAAAAAAGAGTAACCTATGGAGTTTCTTGCTCGTTCTTCTCTATATGGTTTTAAATTTTTAATCTTTTGTTGATGTTCAAAGGTTCCTGGTCTAATTGAAATTAATGATTTCGATTTTGACACATACCCACATCTCAGGAACTTTCGCATTCACAATATTAATATGATTATATGACAAATAAACTGCGAGGGAGGCAGAATACAATGCCTTTGCTACCACCTCTGTCTATTCTTCCTGCGAATGTGATTACTCCTGACAGAGGAACTGACACCGGGCAGCAGCGCTGTTTGATAAACCTAAACTATTTATACTGCGTTCTCCAATCCGTAAGATTATGCCAAGCCCTTTGTACCTAGAGAAGGCCGTAGTTTAGCAGTGCATTGTCACGTTCACTCCGCCACTCGCTTAAATTGAACAAAGACTATCTTTATCAAGTTATTTGGACTCGGCACAGTTATCTTAAACAAACGTGATTAACCCTTTTCTTTTTCACATTAAAATGATATTCAAATACATATTAATGTTGAATATACCATTCAGACATCAGTTTGTGGACGAATTTTGCGGTATGTATTATTCAGAATTATCATTCAATTGGTTGAACTAAAATTACACGTATTATCTAATTCATGGTTATATTTAAAATTTGTGAATGTATTGAATACTGTAAAATGCATCGGAAATCTCCTCTATGGATTTATTTAAATGAAATCCAATATTTCTGCCATTTCCCACTAAAGAGAACCTTCAAACGTACAACCGATACCATATTAATAATGTGCTATTATTGCGAAATATTTCAATAATATTTCAATACTATAAATACATTCCCTCTATTCTGAACAAAATGAAGCCGAAATTTACAACACGTTGTACTGTAAAATTTTGGTAGAAAACAATGTGTTAAAATTCACAATAGAAATCCCTTAAAACCGGTACATGTGACGACCGGGCTGACCGTTTTATTTCCTCGTCAAAGCATTTTGATCTCGCGCTGAGATTTAACCGCAATTTTATAATCCCCATGCGACGTGATTCGTTTTAACTGCCAAGGAGCAATTTAGCCCGCAAAACTCGGTAAATTGCATTATACCCTTAAAATATAGCTAGCTACGTTTGCTGTTGTACTTAGAATCTCTCAGAATGGCAAAATGGCACGTAATTTAAATAGATTTTCATAATGTAATCGTTTGGATGGTTGTAACGATGTCGTTTTGACCCTAGTGTGTGGTAAGACGCTAGCGTCCGATACACAAAGGACTGACGTCCCTGATTTTAGAAACAAACATGTGTATTCGTATCTGCATAAACTGGTATAAACTTTTACATAACTTTCGAGATAAACTTAGATCTCGGCAGCATTTTTGTTATTATTATTTTACACTTTCGTGGTTTAACTCGTCGAGTACCGTCATTATAGACACAATTATAGAACAATAGGTTGCGGTCACCGGTGACCGCAACCCTCAATTATATTTTTTAACCAAATAAGTACTCATTAGTGTATATAATTTTAGTTATCAATTATGGTAAATTGCCTTCTCTAAATGTGATCTCGGTAGAAGCATTGTTGAATAGACAATCATTAAATCGCGGTGTAGTGACGATTTAAGCACCATAAGCATATATGCCTTGAGTCTTATATCACTCCTAAATTCTTAGTCAACATCAGCATGAAATTCTACTCTAATAGAATATTTATAGGTAACAAATTTTCTTTAAGTTAATAACTATACAGGTAGGTTCACTAGTTACGTACCTGAAAACTGGCTAGAAGTACAAACTAGAAAACGTTGCCAAGTTCGAGCGGGCAAACGCAAACTTGGCCATGTTTAGTCAAATAGCCTCACAAACCGAACTCATGGGTCGATGGTTGGCGAACAGAACTTCCTTCTCTTAGTATTTGTGTTTAAAACGTGGTTGCAACTAGGTACTAGGTATATAAACTATAAGTTTGCTTATATAATACCTCTATACTGTTATAGGTTTCGAAGACCGAATACCTAAAACTGGGTGTATTTGATAAAATTTTGTGAAGTTTTCCAATTGGTTCGATTTATTTCGTAGCGTTTGAATGGTGAGGTTATAGCAGTTATCTGTGCTATGTTTTGTGTTACGTAGGTAACAGGCTAAAAGGTTCCCTCAGGGTCAACTTTAAAAAGACGCCATAAATCGACTATCATCTCTGATAGTGTATTGTTCTTAGATACAATACTGTTGACTGATCTCAACCGTGTACGTTTTTCTACATCTTAGCAGTACCTGTTACACAAACAAAACAGACAAACAACAAAATACGAAGCTAAATAAAAATAAAATCTCTAGTGATTTCGTAACGACTAGTTCTATAGTGCATAAAAGTTGAGAAACTTCTTCAGTGAACTGATAACATTTTATGTTTTCAAAGAATCACCGCGGCGTGCTCCTGACTACGCCATAAACTTTCATATCCAGCCATAGTTCGTAGAATCCTTTTAGAATGCAAATGTCTCGGTGCATTTCAACTCCTTTCAAAACTATTTCTAAAAGAGAACCTAACTCGGAGAACATTGAAGATTTCGCGCCACATAGCCATTTCATTTCCGTGAATTTGCGCATAGGATATTAGACCGTATTCACGAAGCTTGTCGTGTTTGGAACGAGTGGAAAGTTGAAACTTTGTAAGGGTTTCTTTCGTGTGACATTGGCTGGACAGTCTTGAAATAAGTCGGTGTAGTTTAGCTTCTGGAGAGAGTAATTCGATCCCAAACAAACCCTCTACATAAACTATGTATGTGAAGAGTTATTAAATACTTCAAATAAATAGTCCAGCGAATATTTCCCATTACTTGGTCGTACAAAAATGTCGTCGCTTCTTAGAAAGGGTTCGTGGTATTAAATTGATATTGGTTCCTCGGATTCTCTTACCTCTCAGTTCTATAATATTAACGTTGAATGTTTTTTCTGAGGATCTCTATTACGTGGGACTAATACTTCTATGGCTAACGCAAAATGGGTATTTACACATACTTACTGTCAATCTTTTCGTAGTTTCATTAGTTACTTATGTGTTTGAAGTAATTTTTTCTTTTTCGTTTCTGTAACTAAGGGCTTAGTACGAGTTTATTTGGATTAAATGAGACGTTTCGAATTCGGCACTCTGATTGGCTTGCTCCAATAAACCAACCAATCAGAAGGCTAAACGCGGTAATGTTCGATCTAATCAAACGTTAAACGAATTCGTACTAGGCCTTCTGTTATCTACGTTCGTACGTTCATAGATATTCTGTGATTAATATTTTGAAATAAATAGGTGAGATATAGACAGCAATATTTTCTTAATAACAATATATCTTTGTTTTCCTTATAAAACGCCTTGTTTTGACAAAAAACAAAATGTTAACTTAGTTTACAAAGACTTGTATCCAATTCATGTGATTACTTGTTTTCTCTTTGACAAGTTTTACTCACAAAACATAAGTTTTTATTTTACCTGATTGCCTTGTTTCGTTTGTCGTAAAAGTATTTGGGATAGGATACAAGTCCATTTTCTACATTGATCAGAACAAACAGGTGTCTTGAATTTCAAATTGTCTACAGATAACTAAATGGATTTTCATCATACATAGTCAAGAAATAACATAGCTAATGAACGTATCATATTATAACATAACATCTTTTATCTCCGAAGGGGTAGGCAGAGGTGCACATTGCGGCACTTAATGCCACTGTACAATGTAAATCCCACTTTTCACTATGTATGTAATGAACGTGTCAAGAAGTAATACATATAGGTAAACATTAGTTACTTCTTTGAAAAATACACATTTCATATTTACTCTTGTGGTAGCGAGCATAATGCTAATTATGAGGAACAGTTTAAGTTTCATTAAGTACCAACTCGATAATACCAATAATATATCTACCAAAAGTAAATAGACTAAAAATAGAGGTTGAGAAAAGCTCTACTAGTTTCGAGTCACAGAGGGACTCTTCCTCAGCAGCCTGCGGCGTCACGGCGACTGCGACTTAGCGTAGCCTACTCCACCGTCAACCGTTATGCTTAGTTATTTCAGTGTGTCCCACGGCAGTCATTACAAAAATAAATAAGAATAAAGGTACCAGAACCACAAGTTACGACATAACAAGCCGAATTTAGTTAAACCAAGTTCGTTAGAAAAATTCTAAGAATAGAAAGGATAATAAAAAAGAGAGCCCTTTGGCGAATTACAACCCTAATATTAGTTACCATAACTATTTACTTGAAAAAGATAACTTGAAAAAAGAATACACACGCAGACAACAATACAAATACTCATACAAAAGATGTATGAAAATAAAAAAACGAAGTATCGCAAGCCATTTCTATGGTGAAACTATGAAAGAGAAGTGATACATCATTATGATTGGCATAACAATGTGGTATTTGTCACAATCTGTTCACTATTGACGCCATGCTTGTTGAATATACCCCAAGAATCTAGGGCGGTGTCGATAAATGAGTCGATTACACACATTTGTCTAGGAGCGTTGTATTGGACCTTGGATAGTGGATGCTTAATTTCTTTTTAAAACTTTACCAATCAGATTTTTGGAAATTTTCGTATTCTGAAGAATCAATGTTAGGATTTAAAGATGTTTTTTTTTCTTTTCTAAAAGTCAAGGGAAATCTTCTTATAACCAGAGAGTCGATAAAACCTTTTGAAACCTTCCGAATAAATTAAAGATTTAGACAACTTGTTTCGTTCCTACTTGTAAATACACCGTTGGCGCAGTGGCTGGGCAACCGGCTGCCTCGTAACATGTAGCGGGTTCGATTCCCGCACTGAGCTATTCTTTATGTGATCCACAAATTGTTGTTTCCAAAAGACGTCCACTGCTAACAAAAGGCCTCTCTTAATGACTTCCACGTCGACTGGTTGTAAGCGACCTGCATCCAGCGGCTTCCTGCGACATTTTATAATTCGGCCTAATAGCTATCAAGATGTAAAATTATTTGTCCCTAATTTTTAACACAGGTGGTTTCGCGAGCACCACGAAGAGCTGGTTCCCATAGAGAAGACATCTCTATGGTCTCGGGCGCGGCTCCTTGGTAGCGGTCTGCTGAGCTTGCAAGCGCTGCGGCGTGAAGATGCTGGCCGCTTCGTGTGCTGGCTCAACAATACTGTAGGGGGAGAATCCGTGCACTTTACACTTATAATCACAGGTAAGTTTACTGAAAAATACACTTTTAGAATAGAATATAACTTTATTGTACACCATAATACAGTAGGTACATACAGAAAAGGAAATGACAAATATAAATTAAAATAGTAATGGGCACAAAGGTCTTACCACTTATAGTGATTTCTACCAGACAACCTTTGGCTGGATATAATGGAAAGAAATATTTAGACGGGTTGTGTACTAAGAAATTTTAATAAGAAATGTTAAGGTTTAAAAGAAAATGGGCAATTTATGTAATGATTTACATAACACATCACACATCACACCTTTTATCCCGAAGGGCTTGGCAGAGGTGCACATTACGCACTTAATGCAACTGTACATTGTAACACTTTTCACTATTTATGTTATGAGCCCCATGTAATAGGAGGTGCGCCTATTGCCAGATACCGGGCACATTTCAGACTCCGTGCTACTACTGAAATTGTTTTAAAAATCCCAGTAGTACTTTGCCCGACCCGGGAACCGAACCCGAGACTCCTTGCTCGGCAGTGGCACTTGCGACCAGTCGGCCGACGAGGCACGCATGATTTAAAAAAGAAAAGAGAGCAGTAATAATTTAAAGATAACTGAATCGCATTTTCAGTAATTACTCCACATTGTTTTATATACCGGCGATGCAATAATTTTGGATATGAAATACGTAATATGCGCAAAATGTTCGATGATAGAATAAACTTAACAAATTCCACTTTATAAAGATACTAGATATACTTCTGCCTACCTACTTTCTACATAAGAAATAATCTATATAAATAAAAATCAATTTCCATTCGTTAGCTAGCCCGGCAAACTTCGTACCGCCTATTAATGTTTTTTGTCACCTTTTAAACCTTCCCTGGACTTCCACGAACATTTCAAGACCAAAATTACCCAAATCGGTTCAGCCGTCAGCACTAGCTTTAGGCTAATGTAACATCTTAAGAAACATTATGAAATGTAAATAAAGATATGAATATACTTAGGATAGTACAAAATATCTATATTTACAACCTACAATTTCAACATTACATTTTTCATTTAATATTACTATGTAATCCTATTGGATATTATATCAGTAATAATGGTAGATACTCAAACACTTGGAAACTCGAGATTGCCTATCAATATAGCCCTCTATAACAATTGTAATAAACGCATAAATATATCTTATAGAACCAAACTATTACAATTTGAATACATTTCGATATCGACCTTTACTATGATTTCTTTCTTATGTTTTATTGAGGGACATAGAATGGGTAAGAACTTTTTTTCAAGCCCTATAACATTAACCTATATAAATTTTACACACAAAAATGTAAGGATGCCTCGTTGGCCGAGTGGTCGCCAGTGCGACAGCCGGGCAAGGGGTCTCGGGTTCGATTCCCGGGTCGGGCAAAGTATTACTGGGTTTTAAAAAAATTCTCAGTAGTAGCACGGAGTCTGGAATTGTGCCCGGTATATGGCAATAGTCTCACCCCTACTACATAGTACTCATAGCATAAATAGTGAAAAGTGGGTGTTACATTGTCACATGTACAATACAGTGGCATAATGTGCACCTCTGCCTACCCCTTCGGGGATAAAAGGCGTGATGTTATGTTTATAAACAGTTAGTTAAGTTCTATTGCATATTTGTTATAAAAATACGTCAAATAACTCGCCAGTTAACAGGTAATATTAATCATTGGGGTCATTGGGATTCTTGTACACATTATCCCATTGGGCATTAACCTGTATAGATAAATGTAAGTGGAATAAATAAATTATGTGACAATGTCAATCCCATCGTGCTTATACATAATAAATATATTTTCAACTTAAAGTGTGATTATTACTACTACTTAGGCTTACAGAATAATTAGTATCTACTCTGATATTCTACAAAACTACATAATTCATTAACTATCTGTTATACAGGAAAATATCATGTTCGCAGCTTCAGATGTAGTCTTAGCAAACACCATTAAATTCATTTTTTAATTGTACTACATTATCAACTACTGCCATTCCACAAAACTATGAAACGTGTAAAATAAAAAAACATTTTATATTGGATAAAATACTTGCATAAACACAAACAAAAACTAAAACAATGATGTCAGGACGGAGGATGCCACGGATGTCAGGACGGCAACCAGCCGGCTTAGTTTTAAAGTTAAGGTTCGTGAACTATTGGAGAGGGAACAGACAGACGCATCACGTACTTAATTTATCATTTTGGCGATTGTATTTAATATATATGTATAAATATATATAATTATATATATATATATAAATATATGTAGTTATTAGTTGTAGTAGTTATGTTATTCCCAATTTATTTATTATCTTTTATAGTATTGTTATTTAGTAATATTGATAATGTATCTTATGTAATTTACATTATACCTATTACACCTACTGTTGCACATCTCTGCATCACCCCATGGTTGACTGTTAGAGAATGCCACCCGGCATTAAGTCCGCCATCGTATGTCATAATATACAGAAGTGTTAATAAATAAATAAATAAATAAAACAATACGAAGTTCCAATAACAAAAATACAAAGCATAAAAAACAACAAAGCAATGACAAAAAAAATACGAACCTAATTTGAAAATTTTGTACGAAATGGACGAAAAAATCTGTAACAAAAACAGCCGTGTATGGACTCAGCTCTCTTCATCTACAATACGTGAGGAACACTTATGTATACTCACACACACATACTCTAAATATATGTAAACAGTTTCCTTTTCCTTACTCAATTACTTCCGTAGTCTTCCTAATTGGACTAATCGTAAAATTGTATTACTCACAAAATAACGAACCGAATATTTTTCTTTTAGGTTCTCGATACCAACTGCATATCACGTGGGTTTTGGCCAAGTTTATGTTTTATAAACAACCAACTTTGTATTTCTGAGAAAAGAATATGTTACTTATAAAAAAATAAATCTATCAAAATCGTAGAATAGCTAAAATCCATGGTTTCCATTTTGCAATCACACTTGCATCGTTTTGGTCAAACATGATTAAAATTTTATGAGTTACGACTACGTCACTTTTAAACTACACACCATTTTAAACTCTATAGACGATACTTAAAGTTTTGGGACAAATAAAAATAGCCCTTTTTATCCTAATAACACAATCAATTTTGTCTATAATTATCATTAAAATAACGTATAAAGTTTAAAAAATATAATTATGTCAAGTACGCATAAAAATTGTATAGAACGTACACAAGACGACCTTGACAATCTACGAGTATATCACTCAATAACAAGATCAGCCTTCACTAAAAAGATCGAGGACATAACTGGACCCTAATATTTCATCCTTTTTCACAGAACCCATCTCCGTCCGAATAAAACCCGAAGTGGTGCGAACGAAAACGAATGCTGACGTCACGTTTGAATGTAAAGTGTCCGGGCATCCAATAGAACTTGTCTATTGGGTCCACGACGCTAAAGTTGTCAAACCAAACGAGAGAATAAAAATGTCTGAAGACGGCCTAAGATTACATATCAAGAATTCTCAGAAGGAAGACCAAGGAGTGTATCAATGCTTTGTTAGTAATACAAAGGATCAGGCTTATGGAGTCTCCGAGTACTTAATAGATGGTAAGTCTAATGGAATTTCATAGAACATAACCGTAAGAGTAAAAGATGAAGTTGCTGGCGTCATCCGTCCCATTGTATTAAAGGATAAGTTGCTTATATGAAGAACGTTCAGGTATGGAACATGTAATAGTTACTATCAATTTCGAATTATAAGTTTAATTATCCGAAACTTTAAATCCAGTTACACTATCAACTGTCAAACCAACAGCAAAGCAACATTTATTAGGTACATTTGTTTTTAAGAGTAACATGATCACACGTTATGAAACATGATTGCCCTAATTATTACTTTATACACAAGTCAAACCGCAAGGCTACACTAGTGCTCATAACCCTAATAAGGATAGGCAGCTCATTTTTTTTATCCCATTTTTTATACCATTAAAGGGCTGTAATTAAAAAATTGATTGGATAACTTTCCTCTTTTGAACATTACCTTGAACTTTTTTATTGTTTTTGTGGAAAAGTTTTAAAAAGGCGTTAATACTTCGCTCTCGATTAAAAAAGAAGAAATTAGGAAATTAGTTAAATGACTCGTTTTCTTACCTATATTCCGGAAAATTACAACTTTCAACAAGACAAAAACATTACAGGAATTTCGACATTTTATGTGAATCGTTGTTAGACACTAAAGGTCAAAATCGTCTGTGAGTTTTGCTAATAATCCTGCTGGTTTCTTCTTTGAAAAACTGGCGTTTGTTGACATTCTTAAGCAGTATAATAGGTCAAGATAGTTCTTTCTAGGAATCGTAGCACTAATTTTGAACCGACATCGTTGAAACAATGTTATGATTTTAATATAAAAGGCTTGTATTTTTGTTTGTAGTGGCGGAGAGTCGGTCGCGGTTGCCTGGCAACCGGTCGAGACGAGCTCCTTACGCCCGAAGCACACACACACATGATACTGACTGGAACTTCACTGGTACTAGAGGTACGTACTTATTTAGGTCTAGACATACGCTTGAATACTTAAAAGCTACTCAATTTTAAGTACATAAATTGTACTTAAATATCGTGCAATCTCTGTTATTTTACCAAGAATTTGTAGTCACAGTTCTATAGTTATGCGCGACTTGAAATTGAGTGGTGTTTGAGTATGTCGACATTATACTTTTGCTTTTTGATGTTTATTTAAGAAAATATTGTAAATACAGGAGATTGCTATGTACCACGCTGTGACGTCACACGATATTTCAAATGAATATATCGTCAAAAGTATTGAAATTTGTGAGAAAAGAAAAAATACGTGTGTAATGTTTTAAAATAGTCTACCAGACGAACATTAAAATAAAATTGAGGAAACTACCGTATTGTATAACATAGTTCTAGAGAATTCGACTAAAATCAATAGATAGTGTTGGTATTAAATTCTACTAAGATAAATATTACAAGTAATAAACGAAATCAAACAACTTTAATGCATATTAAATACTTTTTATCATTAAGTTTAACCCCATTAGAGACTAACCTGAGACATAGTGCTCATTAAAAGTAAGGATTTATTACACAGGATGTAATAATTTAATATTATCTATTTCAACTTCCAACCTTTAAATAATTACACGCAAAATAACATAACACAATATATTTACAAAGAACGAAAATATTTCCAAGAAAACTTCGAACACCTCGACTCAGTTTATACATTTGAAATATGATTGTAGCTAAGTAAATTACTTCATCCCAGATTTACACAGTAAACCACGCCAACACAAATAAATTTAGAATAAGGAAAACTCTTGGTACTGTATTTTTAGGTTATTACATAATAAATTGGCTTGATATTTCTCGCTTTATACTAGAACGTAATTCTACTTCTTATTCCTCTAAGGAGTTGAGAGTGTAGATGTTTTGACTTTTGGCACTCATTTTTCTCTAGTTATGTTATCGTTAGGATACATGTATCAAGACAATATTAAATTTTACCAAGCATGGTCTTCACACTGTGCTATGATTGAGGATTTCGAAAAACTGACTATCGAATGGGCTGGGTCGACCGGAGTGATACAAGGGCCTCACAAAAAACCGACATAAAGCAATGCTTGCGTCGTGTGAGTGAGGTGCCCAATTACCTCCCCCCCTTTACCCCAATCCCTGAATCCCCAACAATCCTTAAACTCCTAATCCCCAAAAGGTCTGTAACTCACTTATAACACCTCTGGTGTTTTGGGCGTCCATGGGCGCCGATTGCTTACCATTAAGTAATCCGTCTGCTCAGGTACCGGCTTATTCCATAAAAAAATCACTTTTTCGTTACTAAGCTAAAGATTGAATTCGATCGATCAGGTAAAATGTTGTCAAAATTATCTGCTTTTAAAATTTTGTATAACATGGAGTCTGCTTTGCCTAACACATGGATGCCTTTTTACATAATAGTCCTGACAAAAATCAAGTGTTAGATTTAGAGAAGTGTACATAACTCCTTCTCATTCTGAAAAAAGGCGTGAAGTAATGTACAGATAAAAAAATCGACACGACACCAAGACCCCTTGCTAAGCTGTTAAATTTTCGACCTCTAGACTAACGAAGCAGGTCCAATTAATTTAAAAATTCCACTAAGGTACGTAAAGGTACACCTCATATTTTATAGAACGGGCGAGGTGGTAATTTACTGAACAAATTATGTACGTAGTGTGGCCCCAGAACTATTTGAAATAAACAAGGGTCTGTACAACTTTTCCACTTACTGCCGGTGTCAGAGCTCAACTTCGTCATAAACAGTAACTCGGTGTAAAGTTTTTACGTCAACGGTACAAATGTGGATTTTTTCTATGCCTTTTTACCTACAATCGATTTTGATTTCAAGTTGAATGTCACGTTAAGGTTCATAAAGTTGAAAATTTCACATGTTATTCGCTCTAAGGACAAGCGTGCGGAGAAGGAACGGGGCGGTTTTTAAGTCAGTAAGAGTCTGACACTCCCTCCCGACTCACCCAGGCGAGAGCAGTTATTCGATGATTTTTCCATCATAAAAAAAAGGTTCATAAAGTTGAAAATAGAAAATATTATTCGCTCTAACGATAAGCGTAGTTGCATAGACAGCGATAGACGAGACAAATAGATCGTGTATATCTCTGTTTATAATTGTCACAGGTTAAAACAAAAATATTTTTTACATTTAGTAATAATCTCTTTTTTGAGGGGAGAAAATCATCCAATGACTTCTCTCGCCCGGGCGAGGTGAGATGGAGTGTCAGACTCTTACTGACTATAAATCACCCCGTTCCTTCTCCTGCACTTCGCGAGCCGGAGCCCCGGTAACCTGTTTAGTCCTCCTCGGCTCCGTATCGGCATCAGCCCTATTGGGTCCCTTCTGATTTAATATATACCTACCTAATATCTGCAATCATTAGATTTAATATACAAGTATAATTTTCGCAATACCGAGTAAAAACATTAACAGAATATTTACTAAGAAAGTAAATAAGTGATAAGGTGAAATATAATAAGTCTAACTTAGGGACAGGTCTAGAATGTACCCTAAAGCGATAACCGTTTTGATTAAATTTAATTTCACCCACTCCCTTTAATTCATTTACATAGTAATTATTACCTTTAGGTAGACCTATTATAACCTAACCTAAAATATGTTAAGTTTTTTGGATATTAAAGACATTCAGTTCCCTAAGATCGGAAAAGGGCTTTCTACTCACCAGTTGTTCGTTGGGATTTTCTATCCGTGTTATTTGGCATGTAAACTTTGCATGTGCGACGTAGGATTCTTGTGACGTCATCCGTTGATTTGTTTTCATCTAAGTGCGTGAGCTGTCATTTGACATTTGTCTAACATATTTTATATCATTTGGTTTACGTATAGTAAGCATGTATTTGAAAAACATGTAGCTATAAAACCCTTTTATTCGCCTAGAATGTTTACCTGCGTACATTTCATTGATATTCTCGTAAATTCAAATGAAATTCAAAAGCTTTGCGGTTGAGTTTTTATGAGGAAAACACCTTTTCTGTTGAGGACACTTCCGACCTTCTCAACCACACAACTCGCGATACAACATGAACGTCTAAACAAAAACACGACGTTGTTTCTATACTTGCCATGCAGTACATACCCACACGTGTGCATATGCTAGATATGTAAATTTTAAACTTTTATCCGTCCGCCCGACTTCTTCATAAAATATTTAAAAGTCCATTTTTAAGCGCGGATCCGGTGCAAGCTATTAGAGTCAGCTCTTCAGTTCAAACAAAGAGCTTCAGTGACGCAGCCAGCTGCCGCGGGCGCATCCAGCCGCCGCACTAAATACTAACCGCAGTACTACCAATTAAGATCGTATCTCGTTGCTCATAAGGTTGGTTTTCATCGCTCCGACCGCGAAATATAAGCCTCTTTGTTTCATTATTAATTCGTTCCCCGCTATTTGGTGTCGCTGCTCTTCAGGGGTTCAGAATAAGTAGGGCCGTGACGTTACACCCAACCACTTATTTCTATGCCGATTTTTTTTCATTATTTTGTTTTCCTTGTGTAGAAAATCTCTCTTTCAAGAACTTAATGGATTTGGCAGCCGACACGTGTGTTTAGAATTAATGACGTGCTTCATTATTATGTATTTATGTATGGCGTGTGGGTGACGTGCGTATGAAAATCATGTTCTTACCTTAAAGCGCTTTGAGAAATTCATGATATAATTATTAAATCAGAAGATAAACAGTAGACTTTAATTTAATATCCATATTATGAAACTTTCTTTATTAAACCCATTATAGGTAATTATTTTCAAAATGAATCATAACGAAAAAATGCCGAGCAACCTTTTCCCGACCGTACTCAGACAAAAATCGCGTTCCACCAAAACTTAGTTCTTTGATCCCATTTAACAAACTTAGAAACAAATAAATTCCTTACGAAATACCCTTAAGAATGTGGATAAAGGCCTTTTATTTCTATAATATTATCGGTTACAGTTTGAGAGTGAGTTAAAGTTATTGAGGGAAAAATATGGAGTGAAATTTAAATCAAATCAAATCATCAAATCATTTATTCATTTGTGAACATGGGTACAAAAGAAAAAGGTCTTATACAAAATAGTGTCCATTAACCATATTCTACCTTAAAGACATGCAAATTTAAAAGAATAATACAATAACACATATTAAGCACCAATAAACTAGTAT